CTGAACTAGCTGAAGCCGCCGGATGCTCTTCAAGGGCAGCCCCATGTAGAGCACATTGCAGTATTCCAGCCTAGAGGTCACGAGGGCGCGAGTGAACTGATAGACTTTTCTATGAACAATAATGTATTTTAGCTATGATCAAGGCACATCTCTACATGGTCCACTCAACATTTCATTCTGGCTTGAGAATTAGAGTTTGGTACAATGGTTATGGCACCAAGTTAAAAACCAGGAGTTTGTGAGTTCTAGTCTTGCCTTAGGTACAAAAGCCACCTGGGTGATCTTGTCACTCTAAGCCCAACCCACTTCATAAGATTGTCCTTTTGGGGCAAATAGGAGGAAGAAGGAGTATTAGGAATGTTTGCCATCTTGAATTACTTATGAAATGATAACAGTGGGATAAAATTCTAATAAATAAAAAGAAATCAACACAGATCACATATTAGTATCACCAAATTTCTACTAAAAGTTTCTGGATTCATAGCCTTCTCTTCTAATGTTGCAGAAGAAATATTTCTGACTGCACTAAAGCAGATTAAAATGTCTACAAAAAGACCTTACCATAGTTAGAAATTGTCACTAACAATAACATTTTATACCTTCTATTTTTTTTCTTTGATATATGATCACGTTTATTCATATTTTGGAACCAGTATCAAAAGTTGTCCACAATTCTGATTGTTTAAATACATTATATTATTGATTTCTTCTGCCAGAGAAGGTCCAAGAAGAAATTGCAAAAGAGATTGGGATTCGTCAGCCAAGGACAGAAGACCGACTCAAAATGCCTTACACTGATGCAGTAATTCATGAAGTTCAAAGATTTGCTGATATTGTTCCAAGCAATTTGCCACATGCAACCACCATGGACATAACTTTCAAAGGCTTCTTCATCCCCAAGGTGATCAGTGTGAAATCACTACATAATACAAGATTTAGCCTATTTTTTACAGTGTGAGGTAGTTTTTTGTTAGAGTACTATGCAGTTTTTACTAACTATGGTAGTTAAAATCTTCTCAACGTGTGCCTAGCATACACCCCTCATTATTTAAAAATCCATACATTTCAGTGATGGGTTGCTAACTGGTTTATTACCAGTTCACTTGTGCTTGCGTGAGTGGGTAGATCCTCCTGCTGCCACTACTATCGGTTCGACTGAACCAGGCCAAACCGGGAGCAACCCACCTCTGATTCATTTGCAATATCTCCTTTAAAATTTCTAAAGGAATGTATTAAATAGCCACACCTTTAATATAGTTCTTCTCTTTCAATGTTTAGGGAATGCAGATTGTTCCACTGCTGTCATCAGTGCTCCATGATGAATCCCAATGGGAGAAACCCTATGAATTCTACCCTGAGCATTTTCTTGACGCTGAAGGAAAATTTGTGAAAAGGGATGCATTCATGCCTTTCTCTGCAGGTCAGATTCTTTGTACATGTGTGATTGTGTCTAGTAATAAGCAGCCTTTTTTTGGAAAGAAATCTTCACAAAAGATCATGGAACATTTAAAGAGCAACAACAATAACAATAAAACTTTAATTGAATGGTCTTCGTTTAACAAAGTTTGATATAATTTTGGCCTTTTTTTGATGATTCTGGTACAAGACTTGAACTGGTTTTAAATTATTCAAAGGAGGATAGTAAAAGGTATCAGTCTTTAGCTATTTGCAATTCCTGCAAAGGTTATTAGGGTTGTCAGGTTGAAAAGAAGAATTGGCCCGAGGAGAAAAAAGACTTGACCATGTGGTGTCTGGGAAGAATACAGGGTGTAAATCAAAATCTATACTTAATATTATTATTAATAATAATTATAATATTATATAATATATAACTATAAATAAAATAACAACAACAACAACAACAACAACAACATGAAAATGAAGCCTACAAATACTTAGGCATTCTGCAGTTGGATAACATCAAGCATGGAGAAGTAAAAACTATTGTCAGGCGAGAGTACACCAACGTGGTGATACTGATAGACTA